CCCCCCCACTTCTCTCTATCTCTCCCAGACTCCCCTCTCTCTCTCTCCCCCACTTGTCTCTATATCTCACACTCCCCTCTGTCTCTCCCCCACTTCCCTCTGTCTCTCCCACACTCCTCTCTATCTCTCTCTCCCCCCCACAACTTCTCTCTGTCTCTCTCACCCTCCCCTCTCTCACACCCTCCCGTCTCTCAAATACTCCCCGCTCTTTTTCTTCTCTCCCTCACCTCTCTCTATCTCTCCCACACACCCCACTCCCTCTCTCCCCCCCACTTCTCTCTATATCTCACACTCCCCTCTCTCTATCCCCTACTTCTCTCTATCTCTCACATTCCCCTCTCTCTCTCCCCACCTCTCTCTCACACACACATTCCCCTGTGTTTCTCTCTTTCTCCCATCCCGCTCTCTCTCTCTCTCGCACACACTATCATTCTCACTCCACCTCTCACTCTGTCCCTCTCTCTCTCTGCGAAACCGCTCTCTCCAATCTCCTGCCTGAGGGAAGTTTTGCAGTAGCTGACCAATAACCTGGGTGCTGAATTTTAGGATACATTAATCTCGTTCCTCTATGACCCCACCCCTGCCCTGCCTCCACGGTCAAAGCTGACTCCGATTCCATCATCGCTAATTTTCCCCAGTCCTCCTCTCCAATGCATCCACTCTAATCCAGCCCCACCTTCTCTTAGTTACATCATTTCTTCAACAGTAAACCCTTCTGCTCCCAATTCCAACCTCCTCATAACTGAAGAGCTCAAGTATTTTGAAAATTTGAGGAGCAGTCAGCTGTTTGTTTTTGACTTAAATTGGAAAAAAGATTAACGAAAATGTTGCTAGGGTTGGAGGGTTTGAGCTACAGGGAGAGGCCAAATAGGCTGGGGCTATTTTCCCTGGAGTGTCGGAGGCTGAGGGGTGACCTTATAGAGGTTTATAAAATCATGAGGGAGCATGGATAGGGTGAATAGACAAGGTCTTTTCCCCCAGGATAGGGGAGTCTAAAACTTAGAGGCCACGATTTAAGGTGAGAGGGGAAAGATTTAAAAGGGGACCTAAGGGGCAACTTTCTCGCACAGAGGGTGTGGAACGAGCTGCCAGAGGAAGTGGTGGAGGCTGGTACAATAACAACATTTAAAAGGCATCTGGATGGGGACATGAATAGGAAGGGTTTAGAGGGATATGGGCCAAATGCTGGCAAATGGGACTAGATTAATGTAGGATATCTGGTCAACAGGGACAGGTCGGGCCAAAGGGTCTGTTTTCTGTGCTGTACAGCCCTATGGTGAGGAGAGGCTGGCTCAGCAGACCATTCCTCTGTCCCTCTGCAAACGCCTCCTTTCCCCATCAAAGGGCCGGTCCGGAAAATCCGAGGGAGGGATCCTAGGAATTAAAAGGCCAATGAAATGCTAAGCTGTATTACGAGAGGGATTGGACATTAAAGTAAGAATGTTATGTTTATTTCTGCGGGACATTGGTGTGATCACAAATACTGTGTGTGCAGTTTTGGTCTCAATACCTCAGGAAGGATAGAACTGGGTTGGAGCTGGTTCAGAGGATGGGTAAGTGGGCTGTTACCCAGCGTGAGATGGGGGGGGTGTGCTATGAGGGAGGGGTTGGACAGACCAGGCTAGGTTCCCCTGGAGGGTAGGGACTGACACGGCTAAAAGGGATAAGATCCTGGGTGGTTCCAGAATTCCTTTAGGAATATCTTCAACTGTGGGATAAAAGAGGAAGTGTCGCACTGACCCCCTAACTGACCCTCACTGACCCCCTAATGCACCCTCACTGACCCCCTAACTGACCCTCACTGACCCCCTAACACACCCTCACTGACCTCCTAACCGACCCTCACTGACCCCCTAACGCAGCCTCACTGACCCCCAACACACCCTCACTGACCCCCTAACACACCCTCAGTGACACCTTAACTCACCCTCACTGACTCCCTAACCGACCCTCACTGATCCCCTAATGCACCCTCACTGACCCCCTAATGCACCCTAACTGACCCCCTAACTGACCCTCACTGACCCCCTAACACACCCTCACTGACCCCCTAACACACCCTCAGTGACAGCTTAACTCACCCTCACTGACCCCCTAACCGACCCTCACTGATCCCCTAATGCACACTCACTGACCCCCTAACGCACCCTCACTGACTCCCTAACTCACCCTCACTGACCCCCTAAACGACCCTCGCTGACCCCCTAACTCACCCTCACTGACCCCCTAACGCACCCTCACTGACCCCCTAACTCACCCTCACTGACCCCCTAACGCACCTCACTGTCCTCCTAACGCACCCTCACTGACCCGCTAACCGACCCTCACTGACCCGCTAACCGACC